TCGTCAGGCCGCTATCACTTAAGTTGACCATCAACCACGTAAATTTTCTGCCTTAGTTTCTTTTTCTGCCTGTACGTTCACTGATATAGCCGCCTGCAACATAAAAAAAAAAACATATTAAGCTCCATCCCTAGAACTGTATAAGAGGGCCGAATAAGCCAGAGTTTATTCGAAGTCAAGTACTTTTCTCCGCTGATGTAAATATATAGACGTATTGGATAATAAAAGTTTGTCATTTCTGTCTAAAACATCACGTGACTGTGTACTTATACCACGATGTCTCTTAAAATTTAATACGAACAGTTTGAATTTTACGTCCCAAAACCAAGGACCGGTTATGACGGACGCCGTAATGGAGTGCTCCGAAAATATTTATCACCGTGTGTTCTTCAACGTGCATTCAAATTAAAGTGTACGCAGCCCTCTAGCATACTGCCTCCATTCCAGGACGGCCGCCGAAGCTGGGACTCGGTCTCGGGACCTGCGGGTCAGAAGTCGAGCACCATATAACCACTAGACTATCGTGGTGGGTTCTTTCGTAAAATTTGCCGAAACATTCAAGTTTCGCATCTAAAGCCAGTGACACATACGTTTATCTGCATGACGAAATCGACTATTCTAAACATATAAGAATGACTGACTTCGTGTGAATGAGCGAGCGCAATCAGCGATGGTAATAATCAATACCGATAGGGCTTTACAGGCCAAAACGGCAATACAATTATGAAGCACGCGGCACTGAACGCCTCCGGACATTTCGAACATCTGGCACCGTTTAACCTGCACCGACATCGCACAATACGTGGGCCTATTGTACAAGTTCAGTTGCCGGCATGAGCAACCGCATTGTGATGGGGCAGAAAGCAGAAATTTAGAAAGATGCCTGCCATACTTATCGAGAAGTCATATCTGCAGCAGCGAAGGGCTGATTAATCACTGTTAAGTTACAGTGAATACCTAATAAAAAAAAATCCGGGCTTTTCGGTTCCTAAAGGTGCATTCACACGCGAGAGAAAGATCCTGCTCCTCCGCGGACCGAATAGTCACGTGATCAGTTCCATCCGATAAAGTCACGGAGGACTCCATCTACCTTTCGTTGCACGGCTGTTTGACTGGAAACTACCTCTTTTCTTGGCACTTATAATCACCCGACGTTAAGCCCCCCCCCCTTCCCCTTCCTCGTTGCTGTCATCATCATCATCAGCAGCTTGACTACGTCCACTGCAGGACAAAGGCCTCTCCCATGTCCCGTCAGTTAACTCGGTCCTGTGTTTGCTGCTGCCAATTTATACCCGCAAACTTCTTAATCTCATCTACCCACCTAACCTTCTGTCTCCCTCTAACCCGCTTGCCTTCTCTGGGAATCCAGTTAGTTACCCTTAATGACCAGCGGTTATCCTGTCTACACGCTACATGCCCGGCCCATGTCCATTTCTTCTTCTTGATATCAACTATGATATCATTAACACCCGTTTGTTCCCTAATCCACTCTGCTCTCTTCTTGTCTCTTAAGGTTACATTTACCATTTTTCTTTCCATTGCTCGCTGCGTCGTCCTCAATTTAGGCTGAACCCTCTTTGTAAGTCCCCAGGTTTCTGCTCCGTAGCTAAGTACCGGCAAGATACAGCTGTTATATACCTTCCTCTTGAAGGATAGTGGCAATCTACCTGTCATAATTTGAGAGTGCTTGCCAAATGTGCTCCACCCCGTTCTTCTTCTTCTAGTTCAATCTCGTGGTTCGGCTCAGCGGTTATTACCAGCCCTAAGTGGACATAGTCTTTTACAACTTGAAGTGCACTGTTACCTATCTCGAAGTGCTGCTCTCTTCCGAGGTTGTTGTACATTACTTTCGTTTTCTGCAGATTAAATTTTAAGACTCACCTTTCTGCTCTCCTTGTCTAACTCCGAAATCCTGAGTTGCAATTTGTCCCCTGAGTTAGTCAGCAATACAATGTCATCGGCGAAGCGCAGGTTACTAAGGTACTCTCAATTAACCCTTATCCCTAACTGTTCCCGTTCTAGGCTTCTGAAAACCTCCAGTAAGCACGCGGTAAACAGCACTCTTCATAGCGAACGATAAACGAACCTAATACCAAGTCACGACAACGCCCATAGACTCGTATTGAAGCACCGATGACTTTCGTTACTAACATCTACCACAGATTCGGCTAAATTCCTTACGCACTTTTTCTTCGATTCGGGAAAAACAGAGTTGGTTGCAGGACACGTGTTTCTAAATCCAGGCTTTCCTGGCTCGGACACCGGATCGAACTAGTCTTAATAGAGCAGAACGTGACTCCCGCAGCGATTTCGCCTTTTCAGCCGCCTACGTACGGGACACAAGGCGTACGCCATCAATTCGCTCGGAAAATGAGAAAGTGGTGTGACAAAACGCTGCTGGCAGACCATAACAAGCCATCAGTTCCGGACCGTTTAGACGAATAAGTGAAGCTGCAGGAAATGCGGCCGCCTGGCTCTTGGCAAGCGTCACCGCTTAAGACGAGGAAATAGGTCGGAAGCAGCGGTTAAGTGCCGCACGCATCAAAAGCACCGCACCTCATAGAATCGAGCGTGAGGTGCCCTACCACCTGGTTATTGCACGGAATTACCGTACAGACCACGTCTGAGACACAGTGTCCGTATCGATGGTACGCAGTGCTTCACTGGCTGGGCTCGATATCAGTACCGTGCATACTGTGAAACGTTATCCACGGCCCTAAAGATGATTAACTGGGGGCCATTATCTTTTCTGTATGAAAAATATTCCACTCTGCTCTATAACTGACCACCAGGCATTAGAAGATTATGCCTTGTAATATACCACTAAAACAACACAGTAAGACAACGTACATATAGCTAAATAGGGCTACGAAAAAAATAATTGCAGGACACAGAACACAAAAAATTCATTGCAGCACTACTGATACGTCAGTGCTGCACGAGCACGCCGCGCAGCGAATTTTTGATTCACTCGACTAAAAAAAAAACAATCCCAAGCCATCGCTTAGTTGGCGCCAGTAACCAGTTTTGATAGCTCCCGGCTGAGCTTGTGGCAACAAGAAACTTGCACTTTAAAGGGACACCAAAGAGAAACAATGATTTGGGTTTAGATTGACAAACTGCCCTCTTAAAACTCCAATGCCATATGTTTCACAATCATAACTTCATTATTAGCGGAGAAAATCAAGGTTGAAGTTTTATTTTTAAATTTCGTTAGAAATCTACAAGCGTGACGTGAAGAACTTCAAAATGCAGTTTTCGTATTTTTTTTCGACACTGGCTCGATGAAATTTTCTGATACTTCGTATGCTACAGGTCTACGGCATTCACAGATGAAAACATACTTCAATTTCATCGATTAAAACTTACGTAGGTTCCTGGATATGCCTTCACTATTTATGACGTCACGGTATTCTGTGAGGGAATCTCCACGTGGCGTCTCTACCCGAATTTTCCTTTCGCGCTTTAATTGCTTACCAAGCGTCACGTCGCGGAAAAGGTGGTGTTTTCTGGATTGTGAAAGTGTATTTTTTTTTGCTATTACGCGAAAATCGTTTTGCGCCATAGAGTTCCCTTAACTGCACTAGACAAAAAGTTCCACAGGTAGCACGGTCGGGAAACTCATTGCATGCGCGGTCGAATGCCGTTCCGGTCTTTAAATCAGTTTAGCTGGAGCTGGCGCCCTGATTGTTGTAGCGGAAAGTAATGAGTATTAAACTCGCTCAAAGCCAGAAAAACGACTTTCCCTTCAGCTAGATTACGACATTAGTTATCCGTTCCCGGGTTGCAAAACTGGCGACCATACCAAGGCACCCCGTTCGCACTTGTGGGATGCTACTTGGCGCAAGCGCTAGCGTCCTCCCTATACGTTCGAGGCGACATGTAAAATAAAAGAGAGAAAGAGGAAGCCGCGCGTTTCCGCGAGTTCACGTTCCCTCTGGTTTGACCAATACGAGGGCACCGAGAAAGAGACCGAGAGAGAAGAAGTTCACGTTCCCTCTGGTTTGACCAATACGAGGGCACCGAGAAAGAGACCGAGAGAGAAGAATGACATGGCACTACATCGGCGACTCATTATTCGCAAACAAGGGGACGTGGGTTGTGATTCGGCAAGGCTGCAACCCTACACGATCTTGCGTTCAAGCAAGCACGCGCGTATTCTGCCCTGCCCCTAACGGTGCTGCTCTCGTTGCTCTGGCGTCACCTTCTCCTGCTTCCGCACCGCAATATCAGTCTTCAGATTTTCTAGTCCTCCAGTGATAAGAAATTTCAAGGCTATCACTTCATCAATTAGTAGGCTTCGAGAATTTTTTATCTTGAATATATTGGCTAATCGCAGCAACCAAAGAGCCCACTTGCGGAGTGCGCGCTGGACAGGTAAAAAAAAAGTGTATATAACGTCTGTAGCATGCACTTCATACAAAAATGAATTAGGAAAGCTCTGACATATTGAAATTAGTGCAAAGGCTTTTCGTATGCAACTGTGCGTAAGAGACAGAGGGAGAGTGATCGGCACACCGATTTCCGTGACGTTTTGGAATTTGGAAAGCCCACGTAATTAGCCAATACCACAAACGCAACAAGTTTTTGAGGGAAAAAAAAAGAAGGATGGGGTGAGTTGTGTGCAGAGGTTTCGTGGCTTATTACATATATATTTCATGGCGATAATAGCGCATACTGTAAAGGGTCTGTAAAGAACGCATACGTCTAAAAAACCTAAATCAACATTGTTTCGACAAAAGCGCAAGGAACGGCAGCAGGAAACATTTCGCGCCAAAATCCGTCGCACGGGGATCGACAAGTGAATTCATTAAAACGCAATGTTTAAGAGAGAAAAAATCTAGCATTACGGGTAGGCAGTGATGTTTTTACCACAGTCAAAATTACATCACACCTTTTACGAAAATTTTCGCGACAATGAAAGCGCTAGTGCATTGTTTCGTAGAAGGTCTCCTCCCTACATTTCGCGCCAAACGGTGCACGCACTTGGAATAATGCTAGGAGGCAGAGCTGCTCACGGCAGACACACATGCACTGAACGTCCCTTCCGTTTTTGGCAGCTGCACAGAGGCATCACGACGATGCGGCACGGCAGACATCACTGCTTCCGTGTGCAGCCTGTGCTCGCATCAGACGGCCAGAGTGGCAGCCAGGCGTCAGTCAGCTGGACTCCGTCAAGGCGGCTCTCTTGCGCTTCCGATGGTTGGTCACCATGGAAGCCGTGGCGATCTTGTGCGAATCGCGACGCATCCAGCGCTGGAGGTCATCCAGCGCCTCGCGGCCCAGCGAGAATAGCTCACGTTCGGACATGTCCAGCCGCACCGTCACGTCCAGCGCATCTTCTTTGAGGGTACCCTGGGAGCAGTCCATGATGTGCCGGAATCGGTTCTTGAACGCCTGCATAGACAAGAGATTGTATGCTCACTGATCAAATGCTCATAACCACCTGACCACACTGTAGCTATGCAGTATAGAGGGTGCGGCCTGCACCTGGAGAGAAGAGGCAAAAAAAAAAAAATGTCGCCCGCATCTTCCCAAGGGGGGAACTCGAGTAAATGCGTCGCAGAGTGGGGGGGGGGGGGTATCGCGTAAATGTGGCATGATTGGGCATGGTTTGGGAATGCTCAAGTGTTATTTATCTTTATTATTCTTATTCATTGAGTGAAGCAGAAGCGTTGCCTTCAACGAGTGGTGGGACGCTGATGTGCGATCCAGTAGCCAGTAAACGGTTGTGCAGCTCGAGCAGTCAGTTTTTACCAGCAGACGCTGCCTGCGTCCGCCTTGCGAGGCGAGAGAGGTGGAGGGACAGTTGGCGCGAATCGCAAGCCCGCGCCACGATACGCGAGCATGCGCAGTGGGGATGTGGATAACGCCGACGCACGAAGCGTGACATTGTACGTGCGATGAAGAAATACTCCGCATTTAAAATAACCCCTAACAGAGCGGCGGCAAGAAGAAAAGCGTTGGCAGCTAGCTATGCTCCTAGAAGTTGCTCCCAAAAAAGCTATACGCCAAGGCTGTTTATCCTCCACAGACACGTTCGCACCAAGACAGAAAAAAAGAAGAAAAAAACAAGGAGCCAAAAGAATCACGGCGGCGTCAGTCCACCTCGCGCGCTCACATTGCCCCGTCGTTTCAATCAAGAGTCCTCCCGATTCGGAATATTCGAGACAATTTAATCAAAATGTCAACAAGAGCACTCCCACAGCCGCTTTTCCACAGTGGCGCACGGGCGCTGCCATGCTTGATCACGTAATCGTAATTGGCCTTCCCCCAGCTAGTTGTCCCAGCCAACGCATTGGACCAGCGGCCATACCATACAACACAAGTTAGAAGCCAACATGGCAGCACCCATGGAGACGTGACCACCCGCTTCGATTCGAACTCGCGCTTGCGACTCGCCCTCTGTCCTCAAAGCAATAATTAAATGGCGATATCGGCTATGTCGCTTCGCGTAATCTCACGCTGGGGACAAAGCACCAGGTAGGTTCCGTTTTCATTATTGAGATTAGATGTGTTTATTCAGCCATGCCTGCTAAGCCTTGTCTCCAAGAATTCAAGAATGAATCTTGAAAAAGCTGCAGAATACCAAAGAATACACCACTCTCGAAGCTTCAGGACGTATACATATAAAGCAACTAAATTCGTAGCTTGCGAAATTACGGGCCACACAGCGCAAGACGACGACGTGAAAAGTTCGAGGCGGAAAGACACTGCATGCACAGGTTCCGCCATATTGATACTTCCGCTGCTGCCACGAGGCTCGCTTTTACTCACGGCAACGCAGACACTTTGGGCACGCCGAGCAGACGAATCGACGCGAATATAGATATACCGAGCTGTGGGAGGAGGCGGCCACGGTGCGATTGTGGCGCCATCTAGCTTTGAGTAAACAAACCAGCTGCGCGGAAAGTCCTCTATGCTGATAGTTGCAATTGTATACAACCATCTACAGACGCGGACAACATCTCTCGCAAGTGTACCCCGTCCTCGGACTCCAGTGACCGTGCTTCCATCTTTCCTGTCTCTCCTATCCCCTCAGTGTGTTGTTGCTTCTTCTTCCTCTTTTCTACACCTTTATTCCTAACTTTTATATCCCTCCTCACCCCCATCCCTTGTGAGCCCTGGAGGCGGAAATGTTGTAGGCCCGTGTGCTCAGATTTGGGTGCACGTTAAAGAACCCCAGGTGGTCGAAATTTCAGGAGCCCTCCAGTACGGCGTCTCTCATAATCATATGGTGGTTTTGGGACGTTAAACCTCACATATCAATTAATCAATCTTGTGAGCCCTGTGGCAGTATCGCTCACTGAAGCAGACAATAACGGGGCTCACTTTTCTCTTTCTTTCTCTTTCTTAAGAATCGCTCAGCCAGGTTCGTAGGATGACCTCGGCTACTGCGACGCCCAACTATCGTTCGCTCAGAAAAGCGGATACTCTTGCAATTTCGATTTAGCTTCAAACTAAAGTGGTCGCACTTAAAGCTTCTACGGAAAAGCTTCTGGCACGAACTTCTGCAGATTATAGCGCTCGGTTTTCCCGAAGTGAGGTACGACGAAAAAAAGTTAATGTAAAAAAAATGTGTTTGTGCAAAAGACGCGCGTCCTGAGTGAATTGCTCAACAGGTTTAATATGACAACCCCAACCGTACAGTAACAGGATAATTAAATTGCTATGCACGATCAAATTGCAGCAATCAAGTCAGTTGAAACGTCACGCAGCGACGGTTTCGGTGGCCTTGAGGCACCAGCCGTCATCACCAAAAGCAGATAACAATCACTGTGGCAAGCACGCACGTTTCGCCATTAAATCGGGATGCGCGTCGCGCCTCTTCAGCACAATACGCACTCACGCTTTGCATAGCTGTAGCTAACACTTTCGCTTTTTTTTTCTTTGGGAGCTTATGCGAACATGTGCGATCCGTGCTGTGATATTGCCCGCCGCGGTGGTCTACTATAGGCTGCTGACCCGCAGGTCGCGGGATCGAATTCCGGCTGCGGCGGCTGCATTTTCGATGGAGGCGAAAATGCTGTATACGCCCGTGTGCTCAGATTTGGGCGCACGTCAAAGAACCCCAGGTGGCCGAAATTCCCGGAGCCCTCCAGTACGGCGTCTCTCATAATCATATGGTGGTTTTGGGACGTTAAACCCCACATGTCACGTCGTGCTGCGACAAAAGCACCGTGCGCTGCAGGATAAACGGTCCATGTAGACCTATTCGATGTTTGTGAATAGCGGCAGGCGCCGTCGACGTATTGGGGCGCTTGTAGCGACGTCGCGGCGCGTAGGCTCCGTCCAGCCGAAATCTCACCACCGCCCTCTATGATAACGTGACAACTGGTACAACCACTGCAAAGGTGCCTCCGAGCACAGCGCTTCGGGGGAGTCGCAGGAGGACATGTCGTTATGCTGTGGCATGGAAATAGTGATATTTACAAGGTTGGTGACAAAAAAAAAAAGAACATGTGTACCTAACTGCCAAGCACCTGAAGACCATCAAACAGCAGTGGGAAGGTGAGAGAAACAAACAGAATGAAGAATAGAGACAGTGAGGGGTAAGAAAGCTACGAAAGTGTTCATTTATTGGTGCAGACAAAAAATAACAGGTAAAAGGGAGTGGATGCTGACCTCATTGTAACTGTCTAACCTTGAAGTTGTCAGTGGCCAGTACACAGGAGATGAAATGCAGTGATGAATAAAGAGAAAAAAGGGGTAAGTGCGTAGGAATGTGCATTAAAAATGACGCGAATACGACAATTATGTAATAATTTATTAGGCAATTGGGCGAGCGCAGTCGCGGCGGCGCTGCGTACGTAGTGATATGAAGGCCTTGCGTGCCGTCGCGAGTTAAAGAGAAGACAGAACGCAAAGACCGGACTGCTCCAAGATGTCACAAAGTTCTTTAGCAGCGGCAGCGAGCGGCGCACTTTCAAGAGGAGAAACGCACGACTTTTCGCTGCGCTTACGTGGCGGTTATACCCGGCCGCGTGCTCCTCGCTAGATTCACTAAAATACATAAATTGGCACACCTAGCGCGTACTGCAACACGTCCAAGTTGCGCAATAGTCTCTCAAAGGGAAACCTACAATGTCCAGAAAACGAATGCCTTCGGGTATCTATAAAAGCGTGCCCTCGTATCCCAAACGGTCAACCGAATGCAATGCGACTACCTTGATGCGAATGTTCGAGAAAATACAGCAATGTAGAAAAACAGGAAGCTGGATCCGCGCCAGCTGCTTTGACGTCAAATCTTATAGGCGAAGTACAGGGCCGAACAGCCCACCGCGAGCGACGGCGAACGCTTACACCGTGACACGGTTTCGCGATCGCTATACCCACAGACGTCAGAGGAATGCCGACGCAAACGGAAGCAGCGGCGCGACATAGAGCACCTCGACGCATCAAATGACTGCAAAACAGTCCGTTTATGCGATACCTTGCTTGTTCGGTCATGCGCTATTAACGTCCACATGTGGAAAGCAGGATCTGAAAAAGGTTGCGATTCAGTATGTGGCAGCTCTTCTTCAATGCCAGATATCCCGTCGAAGTTAAGTACAGTCAACGAGATCGACACGAAACGTTCTGATAGACTTAAAGACAACCAGTTCTCAGATCAGAAGGCGTTTCTTTTCTTACTCTTTTTTTTTTCGTGCTTATTTTTGAGGGACTTCGCAGCTGCTGTGGTCGATTGCTTGGGGAACTTGTCCGAATAACTGTCCTCGAAACAAACGCCCCTCTGATGTCATTGCAGCAACCTACAAAGATACGGTGGGCGACTGAACAGCGATTATATACTACAGACACAATTCGTAAAACGGTGGGAGGCCAAAAGTTCCAATGCATTACCCGAAATTCCGAAGGCACGTGCAGTAAATAGACGTCAAGTAAGAGACAAATTAACTTTAATTAACGGCCATGGGGATCAAATGTATTGTCTCAAAATCAATCAGCGGAAGTGCATATACACACCGATAACGTACGTCGACGTTGCTTCGCCTGGTTGCATCCGACAAAGTCATGTACGCTCAATGGTTGCCACAGCAGTTGCTAAAACGTCACATAACATGTCATAACGGCAAGGCGCACAAACCCTGTACTAAGAACACATGTATTCACTGATTCATCACAATATGGCTGTCCAAAACAGTCGCAGTGTCGCTAGGCGAACGCAAATCTTACAAACCCTCATCAGAATCCGCGTACGGGCTATATATTTGGTAGATTTCCGTTAAATGAAGCATGTGCAGCGCAACAAAAAGTGAACAAGGACAAGGAAGGAAAACACACACACATGAAGGTCCTCACGTCCAAGTGATTTATTTGACAAGCACGCGAAACCAAAATCTATAGATCTATACGCTGTAATCCCAGACACATAACTCCAGCATTAGTCAAACCGA